CCCCCTCTTGTGTCAGGGGCGCCGCTCGCGCTCGGCGCCGGCCTCCTCCTCGCCCGGCCCTCCCCGCTCCTCCCTCTCTCCTCCCCCACTCTTCCCGCGGGCCTCCTCGCCCCCTTTTCGGGTTTACGGCACCCAGTTTTTGCCTCGCTCCTTATTGGTTCTTTTCCATCGCACAAAGCAAGGGGCGAGCACCTCGAGCCCCAGCATCTTGTTACAGTCGGTCTCGCAGGCAGGGTCCGCGAAGGGACTCTGCAGTTGGGTTCCCCAGAGAACTTTCTGAAACTCGAGCGAGTTGCAGCACACAGTGTTAACCCTTTCCCCACACGTCCACTGTTCGTATCCACTCACACTGACTGAGGTTTCTTTCACCTTACCCAACAAGGTACTGCGAGTGTATTCAAAGACCATTTCTTGGCTTTGGCTTTTTTTGACTCCACGTTGTAAAGACAACCACTACAAGGCACAATGCAATGTTGTCCTAAAACTGTTCAACTCTTAGTTTTGTTGCTGTTGTTTTAATCTTTTTTACGGAAGGCACTTAAAATTAGGCAGGAGGATGTCGCTGCATCGCAAGCGGTTGCATCAATTCTTTCACAAGCTCGGGGTTTAGTGTGTGTGCGCGCGCGCGTGCGCTCTATGGTTTTTGTTTGAGTTTTTCATTGTTGTTATTTAGTCTGCAAGCGTTAAGAGCTCAGACTCTGAAACCAGACTGCCTGAATTTGAACCCCCTTTCCAGCCAAGACTAGCTATGTGGGCAAGTAACATCACCTCTCTGTGCCTGTTTCCCCGACAGTAAAATGGAACAACTAACAGAACGTGACTGTTGTAAGAATTACAGTAATACACAGTATATAATACATATGGGAGGGTGCGTTTGCAATGTGGCAGGCACACAGATAGTAAGGGTTATGTAAGTTGCAACTTTTTTTTTTTGGCCTCCAGAGGGATCCACAAACTTTTCCTCTGCAGTAATGTTTGTGGTATGGTCATCTCTGCTTGGGACGCTGTGAATCTCAGTGGGGTAGGGGTCCGGAAATGCCACTAGCTGGCTTGTCTATGCAAAAGTACCGTATCTATTTTAAAAAGCAGTCCATCGAGGAGCCTCAGAAATTGAATCCAGCAAGTCAAAATTTGCTGAAGTTCAGGCAGTGTTGTGTGAAGGAGTGCATCCTATGTCATTACTTACGACTTTTACACATTTGCCCAGCTGTTTCCCCCTGCTAAGAATTTTCCATTTCTCACCTCTGTGTGGTACACTCTTCTTCCCTCCAAGATCAGTTCACTTCTTTTCTCTGAACTTCAATTAACTGCATGAATATTTGATTCTTACCAAATGCTATTTGGATGGTTATTTATCTGGGTATGAACACATACATCTATGTAGGTGGGTGTTTATGTGTCTCTCTTCTCTCCAGTTACATTATAAAAGTTCCCTGAAGGCAGGGATTGTTTTCATATCGTCTTAGGATTACTGTACTCAGGACAATACCTTTGCAAGCATTCAAGAAACTGTAGGTTGGTGTAAATTGTTTTTTCATTAACTAATTTCTAACTTAATAGTACCCATTTTCATCTCGGCCACAAAGAGAGTCAAGTTGACATTTACCAAAAAAAAAAAAAACGCACAAAACAATAACAAGTGTTCTCTTGCCACCCTCCACTGACCTCTGGCTTGCTGGCCCTCACAGACATAAATGGAACTATACGGACAACCATGATTCATAGTTAACCAGATTGTGTAGTAGATCTAAAAATGGAATTATGTTTTGGTGCTCATCGGCATACAAAATTAATGCTATTCAGCTGAGCTATGCCTTATGCCTACTGTGTGCCAAGCATTGTACTTGGTAATACAGGAACTAAAATTTCCTCCCTAATTTTAGTAAGGCGCTAAAGTATAGGGACTGATCCTGTCTGCCAAGAGCCACTCACCCATGTCCTCTGGCATTGTCTCATGCTATTCATTTCTAGACAAGCATCTTGCTTTCTAGTTCTGAATTAGATTCCTTCTGGCTGGGTGGAGTCTATTATTGTGGCCTGTGTTATGTCACACATTGACAACTATATTTATATAGTTGAGGGGGGAAAAAGCTGAAGCATGTTTTTACACACTACTAATAAATCTTGTTTAAGCAGACAGACAAGTCGCTGTGTCTCCAAACCTCCCCACCTCCTCCCCACCCCTACCCCGCCACCAAATGCCACTTTGAGCTGGCTCATTAGTCCAAAGCAAACCATTTGCCATAACAGCTTGTACATCTCCATGAAAAAGTGTTCCCAGCAAATTTATATATTAAAACTAATGTACTCAAATGGTTCCACCAATAAAATGGCCACAAATAGGAAAAAAAGGTTATGGCTTCCAAAGTATCCATTACACATTAATAAATAATGCTGTTCATTCACACGCCAATTAAAACAAACTGAGGCTGTCAAGTGGAGTTAGAAGCGTAGGGGCTCAATGCTGTAATTGTTTTTCCAGGAAAACTCCCAATGTTGTCAGATTAAGTGTGCCTGTTTGGGTTGCTCCTATTCTCTTTACCCAACATCCAAATTTTCTCCTCTCTAGTTTAGTCCTCTGGCTTTCTTTCCTTTTTGATTCTTTGTTTTGGTCACAGGTATTTGGGAGGCAGTTGAGGGTAATCACCCACCGTTCACTGCTCCCTCCTGTCGGGGACAGGATCTCACTTCCCCCTACTGTTTTGATTTTTCTTTCCCTTTCTTTTTAAAGCAAGTGCTGGTGCTTCTTCCTCCACTGATGCTACTTCATTATCTCCTTTCTAGTATTGTTCAGCCCTCGTTAGTTCTTTTGCTTTCCCCGGAGGCCTCTGTCTTCTCAGAAAAGCTGCTAATCAACACCCAGAAAGTGTGACATTAAAGACAGGGTGGATTTGCTGCCCGAGGATCTGGGGAGTAAGATAAAGTTGCCAGCATGAGAAAAGAGACTTGACTGAATATATCACAGTTGTGTAGCTTACACTTAAAGATATTTCCTGGGCAGAGCCAGGAAGGATCCCTCAGATCACACCGTCTGATGCTTTGCCCTTGGGCAGAACAACTCCCAGCAGCACCCCCACAAAGTCAGAGCATCATTGTACAAATGCCTTATCCAGCAGTGAACATTCTATTGCAGCCAAGCAAAGTAAGGAGCATCAATTGCACATTTTGCTATAGAGCAAAGCAACAAAATGATGCCTTGCAGCTTTTATGGCCAAACAAACACAAATGATGTAATTGGGAAAAGCTGTCTCCGAATAGGAGGGAAAAAAATAAAGGGCAATCCTTTGAGTTGGGGTGATGACCACCATTCGAGGGTCTGGGATCAAAGCTCCAGCCAGACATCAAAGCCCATTTGAGTCTAATGCCAGAAGAGCCACAGTGAATTAAACTTCATATATAAACTAATTATAGCTTGACCCCACAATCATGCTTCAGTGAGCACATAGGGGAAAGAAAGCAGACATTGAAACAAAAGATCAAGAGAAAAGAAAGCTGGTAGCAAAACTGGGCAACATCATGGCCCTGATCACTTTAAAAATCTTTTGAGGGCAGAGGGGAATCAGGGAATGGCAGCGGAAACAGCAAACTTTTGACAATGCTGGTCTTGTCTGCAAGGCTGTGAAACAGCTTCTTTGCCCTTACTGACTCGTGCACAACCAGAGGCATCCTTATGCCTGGAAGACAAGGTTATCTTTCAGGTCTTTTTCAGCATTGTTAAAGAAGTTCCCTGTCAGCAGCTTTCTGCTGAAGGAGCACAAGGTGATTCCATGTAATTTGGGGTGAGCTCTTCAGGAAGCTCAGGCTTGTCAGGCAGAGCACTGTGAGTTCCTAGCACGCATCTGTCTAGCAGTGACTGGCATTCCCCGCGGATAGAATCCCTGATGCCTCCACAGACCTCAGACTTCAGTCCCTTAGCCCTGCCCTTTCAGCTGGTTATCTTTACAGATGGAAGATACAACATGGCAGTTGTACAAATACCCTAGAATTACTTGCTCTGGTACTAACACCATGAAATAAGACTACTTCATCCCCAGGCAAAATTTAAGAGTGTTTCAATGACAAGGGACCTCTTTAAACACTCATATTCAGTGGATTTTGTCCTTCCTCTGACTTTTCAGGACCAGTCACCAATTATTTGAAATTCTCAACCTCATAAACTGGCAAAGCATTGCACACCTGAGTTGAAAATCCATTGAACTTTTTCAGTTATATTTCCTTGTAGATAAGTGTTATAGTAATCTCTTAAATTAACAAAATCCAGCTTTATAACCTGAGTCTCGTTATTAAGAGAAAAAAAATTAAAGCAGGCATTTTTATAGGATCAAAACAAATATATATCATCACCATTACACTGCATGTCTTTGATTATTCATGAATTCAACAGATATTTGAGTACCTAATCCATGCCTGGCACTGGGGATACAGTGGTGAGCAAATCAGTCATGGTCCCTTCCTTCATGGAGCTCAGGGTCTAGGAGGTTAACTGGCATTAATTAAAAACTACACACACACATCTATGTGATATACATACATATATATATATACACACGCACATATATACATATATATATATTCCAAATTGTAAAACAACTACCACAACTTGTAAAATAATATAGGGGGATATGTAAATATTTTCCTATTTTAAAAACAGAGGGAAAGGCATAGATATAAATTATCCTTGGAAGCTAAGACTTCTTTTAATCATACCTAATTGTGTCATCTTAACAAATAGAACTGATATTAGATTATAAATGGCAGCACTTAATTTTTTTTCCAAAATAATATTCTCAAAGCAGATATATTCTACTATTCTATCCAAAAAAGTAATACTCATATGAAATTACACACATACACACATTGCTGACCTTTATAAAATGGAAGTATTTTACAGGGAAAGGGATCTTATATTTAACTTTTTATTTTCTCTTTAAAAAGTTTACTCTCCTTGGAGCTACATTTGAAATGTCTATAGAGAGATATTTGCTCTATCACAAAGTAATTCAGAATTTTCATCTAAATATCATTCATGGAAAGGTGGTAACTAGTATATGTAATTAAACTTTCAGATAATGAATTTCCTTACAGATCTATTTATTACCTTTTCATCAGAATAATTTCAGAAAGGTCAAAGAGAAAGCATCACTCCAATCTATGGTACTTTGAGGAATTACCAGTGTGGTTTCCTGCTCATTTCTACACCAGCAAAGGGGAATGACCGAGTGATGTTTTGCAGGAGAGCTCCAGGTTATTAAGATGAAAACAGACACTTCTGCTTTAGGATTTTCTTTTTTTAATTTCTAATGAGGGTAGGTAATTCAGTTTACTTATTTATATATTTGTTTATTTATTTTAATGGAGGTGCTGAGGATTGAACCCGGGACCTTGTGCATGCTAAGCAGGTACTTTAG